GAGAAAAAGAGAGAAGTTAAGAGAGTGGTGAAGCAATGTAAAAAGAGAGCAAATGAGAGAGTGGGTGAGATGTTATCAACAAATTTTGTTGAAAATAAGAAAAGTTTTGGAGTGAGATTAACAAGTTAAGAAAGCCTAGAGAACAAATGGATTTGTCAGTTAAAAATAGGAGAGGAGAGTTATTAAATGGAGAGTTAGAGGTATTGGAAGATGGAAGGAATATTTTGAGGAATTGTTAAATGTTGATGAAGATAGGGAAGCTGTGATTTCGTGTATAGGGCAAGGAGGAATAACATCTTGTAGGAGTGAGGAAGAGCCAGTTGTGAGTGTGGGGGAAGTTCGTGAGGCAGTAGGTAAAATGAAAGGGGGTAAGGCAGCCGGGATTGATGGATAAAGATAGAAATGTTAAAAGCAGGTGGGGATATAGTTTTGGAGTGGTTGGTGCAATTATTTAATAAATGTATGGAAGAGGGTAAGGTACCTAGGGATTGGCAGAGAGCATGCATAGTTCCTTTGTATAAAGGCAAAGGGGATAAAAGAGAGTGCAAAAATTATAGGGGGATAAGTCTGTTGAGTGTACCTGGTAAAGTGTATGGTAGAGTTATAATTGAAAGAATTAGAGTAAGACGGAGAATAGGATAGCAGATGAACAAGGAGGCTTTAGGAAAGGTAGGGGGTGTGTGGACCAGGTGTTTTACAGTGAAACATATAAGTGAACAGTATTTAGATAAGGCTAAAGAGGTCTTTGTGGCATTTATGGATTTGGAAAAGGCGTATGACAGGGTGGATAGGGGGGCAATGTGGCAGATGTTGCAAGTGTATGGTGTAGGAGGTAGGTTACTGAAAGCAGTGAAGAGTTTTTACGAGGATAGTGAGGCTCAAGTTAGAGTATGTAGGAAAGAGGGAAATTTTTTCCCAGTAAAAGTAGGCCTTAGACAAGGATGTGTGATGTCACCGTGGTTGTTTAATATATTTATAGATGGGGTTGTAAGAGAAGTAAATGCGAGGGTCTTGGCAAGAGGCGTGGAGTTAAAAGATAAAGAATCACACACAAAGTGGGAGTTGTCACAGCTGCTCTTTGCTGATGACACTGTGCTCTTGGGAGATTCTGAAGAGAAGTTGCAGAGATTGGTGGATGAATTTGGTAGGTGTGCAAAAGAAGAAAATTAAAGGTGAATACAGGAAAGAGTAAGGTTATGAGATAACAAAAAGATTAGGTGATGAAAGATTGAATATCAGATTGGAGGGAGAGAGTATGGAGGAGGTGAACGTATTCAGATATTTGGGAGTGGACGTGTCAGCGGATGGGTCTATGAAAGATGAGGTGAATCATAGAATTGATGAGGGAAAAAGAGTGAGTGGTGCACTTAGGAGTCTGTGGAGACAAAGAACTTTGTCCTTGGAGGCAAAGAGGGGAATGTATGAGAGTATAGTTTTAACCAACGCTCTTATATGGGTGTGAAGCGTGGGTGATGAATGTTGCAGCGAGGAGAAGGCTGGAGGCAGTGGAGATGTCATGTCTGAGGGCAATGTGTGGTTTTGAATATAATGCAGAGAATTCGTAGTTTGGAAGTTAGGAGGAGGTGCGGGATTACCAAACTGTTGTCCAGAGGGCTGAGGAAGGGTTGTTGAGGGGGTTCGACATGTAGAGAGAATGGAGCGAAACAGAATGACTTCAAGAGTGTATCAGTCTGTAGTGGAAGGAAGGCGGGGTAGGGTCGGCCTAGGAAGGGTTGGAGGGAGGGGGTAAAGGAGGTTTTGTGTGCGAGGGGCTTGGACTTCCAGCAGGCATGCGTGAGCGTGTTTGATAGGAGTGAATGGAGACAAATGGTTTTTAATACTTGACGTGCTGTTGAGTGTGAGCAAAGTAACATTTATGAAGGGATTCAGGGAAACCGGCAGGCCGGACTTGAGTCCTGGAGATGGGAAGTACAGTGCCTGCACTCTGAAGGAGGGGTGTTAATGTTGCAGTTTAAAAACTGTAGTGTAAAGCACCCTTCTGGCAAGACAGTGATGGAGTGAATGATGGTGAAAGTTTTTCTTTTTCGGGCCACCCTGCCTTGGTGGGAATCGGCCGGTGTGATAATAAAAAAAATAAATCATTATTGTGTATAATTTCATTATTATATCAATAACCCTTTCAGGGTTTCTGACGTACTAGTACGGCTTACGCACCAGGGTTTTTGATGTACTAGTATGCCTAAATTCTAGCTCCCTCAAATCTAGTGAGAGAAAGCTGGTAGGCCTACATATGAAAGAATGGGTCTATGTGGTCAGTGTGCGCAGTATAAAAAAAATCCTGCAGCACACAGCACACAGTGCGTAATGAAAAAAATAACTTTGACAGTGTTTTTGGTTTAAAACAGTGACTTAGCACTGAATTTTCGTATGGTATTTATGATGGTATTCTAGTTTTATTGGTCTCATTTTATAGAATGGAAGACATATTAGAGAAATTGAGATGATTTTGATTGGTTTTACAATGAAAAGTACCTTGAAATCGAGCTCAAAGTAGCAGAAATCTTCTATTTTTTCCGAAGTTCAAAAGTAAACAAATCATGCTATGCGTCCAATACACGTCAAAATCGCTGATGCATAAACATTGTCGACACCGTTAACTTCGCGAGAGCATAATTCCATAAGTTTTCCATCAAATTTCATACTTTTGGTGTCATTATGATTGGGAAAAGATTCTCTATCTTTTCATAAGAAAAAATTATTTTTTGTTTTGAAATTTGGGCGACCCTGAGAACAAATCTGGGAGAGGGCCTGGCGACCCTGAAAGGGTTAATGCTATATCATTACAGCCTCTCCTCACTTAGCGACGTATTCGTTTACCGATGACTCGGACTTACGATGGGCTCTCTGACCAGTATTCATATCTAAATGTTTATTAGAGCTGATTTCCCCTATTCTGTTTATTATAATATACAGTACATGTTTGTATAAACATTTAAAAATACACCAGAAATGTTATAAATGGTTCAAAGGCGACATTAAAACAATATCAAAGATGGGTGACACAAACCCACTACCATGATAGTATGCGCCTCACTGAGTGACAAATTCGTTTACCAGTGAGGCCTTAGGAACAAAACCCTGTTGTTAGGTGAGGAGATGCTGTATTATAAACAATACAGAAGGTCCCCAACATGTTGGTAAGTTGAAGACTTCTGTATTATGATTATTATACACAATTCAAGAGGTCTCCAATGTGCAAGTCAAGGACTTACTGTATGGTGATTTTCATGAGGCACTGATTTTCAGAAATGTACAAGAGGATTTACTCTATTCTTAATTCAGTGTAAAGTATATGTGAAACTTGTAATCTTGGTTAATAAAGCAATTATTATTTTACCAAGAAAGCAACGTATAAATTTATTGCTAGAATAACACTCGAGGTCCCAGTAACCTCCTCTCCTGTATAAATTACTAAATTTAAAAAGAAAAACTTTTGTTTTTTTCTTTTTAGGTCACCTTGCCTCAGTGGGAGACAACCCTTGAATTGGAAAAAAAAAAATATATGTATATATATATACATACTCTTTTTGGTAGTAGGTCGGTAGACAGCAACTGCCCAGGGAGGTACTACCGATCCTGCCAAGTGAGTGTAAAACGAAAGCCAATAATTGTTTTACACGATGGTAGGACTGCTGGTGTCCTTTTTTCTGTTTCATAAACATGCAAGATTTCAGGTACGTCTTGCTACTTCTACTTACACTTAGGTCACACTGCACATACATGTACAAGCATATATATACATACCCCTCAGGGTTTTCTTCTATTTTCTTTCTAGTTCTTGTTCTTGTCTATTTCCTTTTATCTCCATGGGGAAGTGGATCAGAATTCTTCCTCCGTAAGCCATGCGTGTTGTAAAAGGCGACTAAAATGCAGGAGCAAGGGGCTAGTAACCCCTTCTCCTGTATATATTACTAAATGTAAAAGGAGAAACTTTCATTTTTCCTTCTGGGCCACCCCGCCTCTGTGGGATACGGCCGATGTGTTGAAAGAAAGAATATACATACTCTTTTAGGTAGTAGGCTGGTAGACAGGAACCGCCCAGGGAGGTACTACCGTCCTGCCAAGTGAGTGTAAAACGAAAGCCTGTAATTGTTTTACTTGATGGTAGGATTGCTGGTGTCTTTTTTATGTCTCATAAACATGCAAGATTTCAGGTACGTCTTGCTACTTCTTCTTACACTTAGGTCACACTACACATACATGTACAAGCATATATATACACACCCCTGTGGGTTTTCTTCTATTTTCTTTCTAGTTCTTGTTCCTGTTTATTTCCTCTTACCTCCATGGGGAAGTGGAACATAATTCTTCCTCCGTAAGCCATATGTGTTGTAAGAGGCGACTAAAATGCCGGGAGCAAGGGGCTAGTAACCCCTTCTCCTGTATATATTACTAAATGTAAAAGAAGAAACTTTCGTTTTTCCTTTTGGGCCAACCCTGCCTTGGTGGGATATGGCCGATGTGTTGAAAGAAAGAAAGATATACATACTCTTTTAGGTAGTAGGTTGGTAGACAGCATCCGCCCAGGGAGGTAATACCGTCCTGCCAAGTGAGTGTAAAATGAAAGCCTGTAATTGTTTTACATGATGGTAGGATTGCTGGTGTCCTTTTTTCTGTCTCATAAATATGCAAGATTTCAGGTACGTCTTGCTACTTCTACTTACGACTTAGGTCACACTACACATACATATACAACACACCCCTCTGGGTTTTCTGCTATTTTCTTTCTAGTTCTTGTTCTTGTTTATTTCCTTTTATCTCCACGGGGAAGTGGAGCAGAATTCTTCCTCCGTAAGCCATGCATGTTGTAAGAGGCGACTAAAATGCCGGGGGCAAGGGGCTAGTAACCTCTTCTCTTGTATAAATTACTAAATTTAAAAAGGAGAAACTTTCGTTTTTCTTTTTGGGCCACCCTGCCTTGGTGGGATACGGTCAGTTTGTTGAAAAAAAAAAATATACATACTAATCTGGTACAGTACCTTAACTGTGTAACAACGATGAGAAAGAAACTCCAAAGCTTTGGCTGCAGCTGCTTCCCTGGTAGTTTTCTTATTGTCTCCTTGAGCTGTGGCAACATTTACTCCATTGATAACCACACTACAGTCCCTGTATAAAAAAGGTACAGATTCTGAAATACAATTATAACATGGGAGGGATATGTGGATTTAACCCTTAAACTGTCCAAACAGTAGATCTACGTTTTTTCAACATTTGAATGTAAAAAATGTAGATCTTTTTGTTTTTTTACATTTGAAAACATGTAAAAAAACTTTGATCTACTTTTTTTTGTTATATTTGAAAATATGTAAAAAAAAAGTAGATTCTTTGAGCACTACGCATTGATAGATCTATGTTCACAATGCGTAGTAGCTCAAAAGTAGATCTAAGTTTTTTTTACATATTTCAAATTAAAAAAAAAAAGGTAGATCAAAGTTTTTTTTATACGTTTCAAATGTTAAAAAAAAAAGATCTACTTTATTTATAACATTCAAAATGTTAAAAACGTAGATCAGTTGTGGAATCAGTTTAGGGTTAAGAGACTGCAAAAAAATCTTCAAACTGAACTCAGATTCAAATCCATGATTTTAAGTATGCAACACTTGCAAAAAAACTCATATCTATATTAACTTCACATTGGCAATATCCTGATTTTGATGGTTTGTACATGTTATGGTTAATCACTTGAAAGGGGAACAATCATGGATGGGATCAGTGCTGTGTACGTTCTAGTGGTTATTCACTGTGTATGAGTGGATTAGTGTTGTGTTATTCACTGTGCATGAGTGGATCAGTGTTGTGTACAGTTCTAGTGGTTATTCACTGTGTATGAGTGGATTTGTGTTGTGTTATTCACTGTGTATCCACTCAATCTCAATCTTTGATGAATTATCAGAGTTTTCTACCCCCAGAGCCCAGCCTTGGGTCAGGCTTGTCTGGTGCTTGCCTGGTCAACCAAGTTGTTGCTGTTGGTGGCCTGCTGACCCACATACATGTATTCATCACACCCTGGTTGATCTGGCACCTGGTGAAGCTACTTGTCCAGTTTCCTCTTGAAGACTTCTACACTTGTCCCAGCAGTGTTTTCTGGTATCTTTTGTTCCATCCTCTCTATATGTTCAAACCACCTCAACAACCCCTCCTCAGCCCTCTGGATAACAGTTTTGGTAATCCCACATCTCTTCCCTATTACCAAACTACAAATTCTCTGCATTATATTCACACCTCAGACACAACATCTCCACTGCCTCCAGCCTTCTCCTTGTTGCAACATTTACCACCCATGCTTCACACCCATATAAGAGTGTTGGTATAACTATATTCTTATACATTCAACTCTTTGCTTCCATGGACAAAGTTCTTTGTCAACACAGACTCCTCAGTGCACCACTCACCTTTTTACTTTTGTCAATTCTATGAATCACCTTGGCCTTTCATAGACCCATCTGCTGACACGTCCACTCCTAAATATATCTGAATACATTCACCTCCTCCATACTCTCTCCCTCCAATCTGATATCCAATCTTTCGTTACCAAATTTTTTTTGTTACTCTCGTCACCTTACTCTTTCCTATATTCACTTTTAATTTTCTTCTTTTACATACTCTACCTAACTCATCCACCAACCTCTGCAACTTCTCTTTAGAATCTCCCAAAAGCACAGTGTCATCAGCAAAGAGCAACTGTGACAACTCCCACTGTGTGTTAGATTCTTTATCTTTTAACCCCCACACCTCTTGCCAACACCTGAGCATTCACTTCTCTTACAACCCCATCTATCAACATTATGAGTGACAACACTCTTATTGCTAAACATAATGAGGGCAAATTCCTGGGCCTACACCTTGACAGCAACCTGAATTTCAGCACCCATTTCCAACACATAGCAAAAAAAAGTATCCAAAATGGTTGGGATCCTCTCTAAGATATGTTACTATGTACCACAATCAGCCCTACTCACACTATACTATTCACTCATCTATCCCTACCTCACCTATGCCATTTGTGCTTGGGGATCAACAGCAGCAACCCACCCAAAACCAATAATAACCCAACAAAAAGGCACAGTAAGAATTATCACACAATCCAATCCCAGGCAACACTCCTTCCCCCCTCCTTGAAGACCTAAACTTACTCACTGTTTGGAGCATCCACACTTACTATTGTGCAACCTACATATACAGTACCACAAATTCCAATATTAACCCCAAACTAAAATGCTTTTGATAGTTGTGACAGGACCCATAGACACAATACCAGACAAAAAACTCTGACATTTCCTGTGTCTGGCTAAATCCATACAAAAGTTCAATGTACATTAAAGGGCCTAAAATCTGAAACTCCCTACCTGAAAACTCTAGAACTGCAGACTCGGCCACCATTTTCAAAACTACTGTTAAGAAACATCTTATCTCCCTAACATACCCCACCATCAACTAAGTACATGAAAACCATCCATTCATATACACACACATCCTCTTCCTGACATAAATGACTATGAACATAAAACTGCCAAATAATTATCAAGCTAGTCCTAAATTTGCCTGAGATACTCCAATATAGGAGCTTTAATAGAAACTGTGTATCAGGCCAAGACAAAACCATTCTCATTACTAATTTTGCAAATTGTTATATTCTTAAATATTCTGAACTACCTCACTATTGTATGTAAATCCATTTAATCATCTGTAATTTGAACTACCTCACTACTGTAAGTAAATCCATTTAATCATTTGTAACCTGTAATATGGAATAAGTATTATTATTAGTCTGCCCAAAATGCCTAGGCTTGCTAGGCATGCTAGTGGCCTTCTTTGTAATTGTTTTATAATATGTAAACCACCAATTGTAATCTTTACAGAGAAATAAACATTTAAATTTCAATAAATATATTGAACAATCATGGTGACATCACACATCCTTGTCTAAGGCCTACTTTTACTGGGAAAAAATCTCCCTATCTTCTACATACTCTAACGTGAGCCTTACTATCCTCATAAAAAATCTTCACTGCTTTCAATAACCTACCTCCTATTCCATACATTTGCAACATCTGCCATATTGCTTCCCCCTCCCCCCATCCACCCTGTCATACGCCTTTTCCAAATCCTTTATATAAATGCCACAAAAACCTCTTTAACCTTATCTAAATATTGCTCACCTGTATGTTTCACTGTAAACACTTGGTCTACACACCCCCTATCCTTCCTAAAGCCTCCTTGTTCATCTGCTATCCTACTCTCCATCTTAATCTTAATTCTTTCAATAACAATTCTACCATACACTTTACCAGGTATACTAAACATACTACTACTTCTTTCTTCTTTCAACACACCGGCCGTATCCCACCGAGGCGGGGTGGCCCAAAAGGAAAAACGAAAGTTTCTCCCTTTACATTTAATAATATATACAGGAGAAGGGGTTACTAGCCCCTTGCTCCTGGCATTTTAGTCGCTTCTTACAACACGCATGGCTTACGGAGGAAGAATTCTGTTCCACTTCCCCATGGAGGTAAGAGGAAATAAACAAGAACAAGAGCTAGTAAGAAAATAGAAGAAAACCCAGCGGGGTGTGTATATATATGCTTGTACATGTATGTGTAGTGTGACCTAAGTGTAAGTAGAAGTAGCAAGACGTACCTGAAACCTTGCATGTTTGTGAGACAGAAAAATGGACACCAGCAATCCTACCATCATATAAAACAATTACAGGCTTTCGTTTTACACTCACTTGGCAGGACGGTAGTACCTCCCTGGGCAGTTGCTGTCTACCAACCTACTACCTAGTACTCAACATACTTATTCCCCTATAATTTCTGCACTCTCTATTGTCCCCTTTGCCTTTTGCCAAACGAACTATGCATGCTTTCTGCCAATCCCTAGGTACCTTACCCTCTTCCATACACTTATTAATAAAAGCAAAAACTCCAAAACTATATCCCCACCTGCTTTTAACATTTCTATCTTTATCCAATGAATCCCAGCTGCCTTACCCCCTTTCATTCTACCCACTGCCTCACGAACTTCCCCCACACTCACAACTGGCTCATCCTCACTCCTACAAGATGTTATTCCTCCTTGCCCTATACAAAAAGTCACAGCTTCCCTATCTTCATCAACATTTAACTATTCCTCAAAATATTTCCTCCATTTTCCCGATACCTCTAACTCTCCATTTAATAACTCTCCTCTCCTATTTTTAACAATCAAATCCATTCGTTCCGTAGGATTCCTCAACTTATTAATCTCACTCCAAAACTCTCTCTTATTTTCAACAAAATCTGTTGATAACATCTCACTCACTCTCATTTGCTCTCTTTTTACATTGTTTCACCACTCTCCTAACCTCTCTTTTTCTCTCTATAGACTCCTCCCTCCTTGCATCAGTTCTACTTTGCAAAAACCTCTCATATGCTAACTTTTTCTTTCTGACTACAGTGGTCCCTCGCTTTTCGTAGTTCTCGGCAATCGTAAATTTCGCCAATCATAGGGGTATTTTCGTATAAACATGGACTCGCTTTTCATAGGTTGACTCGTGAATAGTAGTTCGTCCGGGACGTGTATGCACGGTGTGAGCCAAGGCGACCTCCCTACCCAGCCAGTCTGGCATTGTTTACCAGTGAGTGAAGGTCCCCTCAAGTGCTCCTACAAAATATTTCATAATATTCCACTCATTTTAGTGCTTGCAAGTACTAAATAAGCTACCATGGCTCCAAAGAAAGCTCCTAGTGCCAAGCCTGTGGTAAAGAAGGTGAGAAATATGTACAGTGACAAAGTCTTGGGCCATTTTAGGGAAGTGTTAAAGAGACGCCAGAAACAGAGCTCTCTTCACAGTTACTTTGCGAGACAGGACTAGAGTGACTCTCAAGGTGGTCCTAGTGGCATTAAGAAACAGAGAAGAGAAGCAACCCCAGAGAAGCAATTGGTACCTGAGGTGTTGCTGGAAGGGGATTCCCCTTCCAAACTGTAAACAATCCAATCTCTCTCCTCCTCTAGTCTCCCATACACTAAGAAGAGTCTCCAATAAAGGTAAGTGTTATGCTGTTAATGTTTCATTCATCATTTCCCATTGTATTGTTTATGTACTACATGTATATATTTCATGTAAATTTTTTTTTGTTTTAATACTTCTGGGTGTCAGGAACGGATTAATTGTATTCACATTATTTCTCATGGGGAAAATTGATTCGCAAATCGTAAATTTCGTTTATAGTAGCTCCTCCAGGAACGGATTAATTACGAAAAACGAGGGACCACTGTACTCTCTTTACATCATCATTCCACCAATCGTTCTTCCCTCCCAAACCCACTTTCCTGTAACCACAAACTTCTGCTGAACACTAACACTACATTCTTAAACCTACCCCATACATCTTCAGCCCCAATGCACAGACTCTCACTACCCCATCAATCCTCCAATAGTTGTTTATATCTTACCCTTACTGTCTCTTCCTTTAGTTTATAAACCTTCACCTCTTTCTTACTTGCTAGTTCCATTTTCCGTATCCCATCAACCTTTTACTTTCACTGTAGCTACAACTAAAAAGTGATCTAATATATCTGTGGCCCCTCTATAAACATGTACATCCTGAAGTCTAATGAACAGTCTTTTATCTACCAATACGTAGACCAACAAACTACAGTGAACCCCCGGTATTCGATATTAATCCGTTCCTGAGAGCTCATCGAATACCGATAATATCGAAAATCGAATCAATTTTCCTCATAAGAAATAATGGACATCAAATTAATCCGTGCAAGACACCCAAAAGTATGAAAAAAAAAAATTTACTACATGAAATATTAAGTTTAATGCAATAGAACAATTACAATAACAATAAAATAATTGACACTTACCTTTAATGAAGATCTGGTGATGATTTATGGGATGGGAGGAGGGGAGAGGTGTTAGTGTTTAGAAGGGGAATCCCCTTCCATTAGGACTTGAGGTAGCAAGTCCTTTTCCGGGGTTACTTCCCTTCTTCTTTTAATGCCACTAGGACCAGCTTGAGTCACAGGACCTCTGTCGCACAACAAATCTGTCCATAGAGCCCTGTACCTCCCGTTCCTTTACGATTTGTCTAAAATGGGCCACAACATTGTCATTGTAATAGTCACCAGCAAGGCTTGCAATAGCTGTGTTAGGGTGATTTTCATCCATAAAGGTTTGCACTTCAACCCACTGTGCACACATTTCCTTAATTTTTGAAGTAGGCACAATGGATTCCACAACTGGCATAGGCTTCTCAGGGTTAGCCCCAAACCCTTCAAAATCTTTCTTAATTTCCATACTAATTCTCACCCTTTTTACCACAGGGTTGGCACTAGAAGCTTTCTTGGGGCCCATGGTGACTTATTTTGCAGGAACAAGCACCAAACACACTGATAATATGGATAATATGGAATGTACCAAATGTATCCTTAGATGCGCGCACACTGGCTGGCTTGTAAACACTGGCAGACACGGGGCAGTTCAGGCCACATGTGGACAGGTCTCGTACGAATCGTATTGAATACCGGGTTTTCAATCGAATACCGAGGAATTTTTTTTTGCAATATAATGCATCGAATACCGGATTTATCGAATACCGATGCCATCGAATACCGGGGGTCCACTGTACTGTCATTACACCCTACACCATATCTTGTATACTTATTTATCCTCTTTTTTTTTTTCAATATTTATTACCTATAGCTAAACCCCTTTCCATGCAAAGTTCAATCAAAGGGCCCCTCATTATCATTTACACCTGGCACCCCAAACTTACTTACCACACCCTCTCTAAATGTTTCTCCTACTTTAGCATATAGGTCCCCCTACAACAATTACTCTCCCACTTGGTTCAAAAGTTACTACACACTCGCTTAACATCTCCCAAAATCTCTCTCCTCTACACTCTTCTTTTCTCCAGGTACATACACACTTATTTACAACCCACTTTTTGCATCTGACCCTTATTTTAATCCACATATCCCTTGAATTTATACATTTATATTCCCCCTTCTCCTTCCATAACTGATCCCCTTCCTTAGCTCTAACTCCCTCAGATACTCCTGACTTAATCCCATTTATTTCTCCCCATTGAAACTCGCCTACCCCTTTCAGCTTTGTTTTGCTTTGAGTTAGGACATCCAACTTCTTTTCATTCATAACATTAGCAATCATCTCTTTCTTATCATTAGCACTACATAAATGCACATTCCAAAGGTAATGAAACCAAAAGTACAAAATTTATGGAAAACTTATGGAATTACGCTCTCGGAAAGTTAGTGGTATCAGCGATATTTATGCATCGGTGATTTCACCCATTTTGAGCCCTATTTTTGGCAATTCCAATGTTCCAGTTGACCAAGCTTATAAGTAAGTTTCTTCAGGTATACACAAATATAGTTACATAGATTATCATACATAGCAGCATATGTATAGAGAACCTTTTGGTTCTCTTCTTCAACTGGTTCATGCTGTGACTGGCTTTGACATGTGCAGGCAGTCTGTTCCATTCCTTTATTGCTGTACAATAAGCCTGGCCACTGACTGTGGGTACTACAAAGTTCTGCTCTCTCCCCCTAGTACTATGATTGCTTTGATTTGCAGCCTTGACAAAACTGGCTGCAAGATATTCTGGACACTGTCTGTGAGCAATTTTATAAACTTGATTTAACTTCAGTTGTTTTACTGTTTTCATCATTAAGCATATCCAATTGTTGTAATTCATCCAGGCCTAACTACTGTGTTAAACGACAGTCAACTGTATATTAAACTAAAATTCCAATATGAAGCAGTGGTATGATGCTTACCCGAAAAAAAAGTTGATAAGCAAAAAACTGAAGAAAAAATAAAAAATGACTCCAAGTTACAAAACATGAAAAAGGCTAAAGACACTGTTTTTTTTTTTTTTAACATGTTGGACGTTTCCCACCGAGGCAGGGCGATATCCTTGTTTAATGTGATTTGAGTAAATAAGGAGATATGATAACTGCACTTTAGATTATGAAAGATGATAAAAATGATATAGAAGACTTCTGAACACTAAGAATTCTCAATCAAGAGGTCATAACTCTAAATACAAGAAAGCAGATCTGCCAAAAGGATAATAAAAAAAACTGTACAGAAACAGTGGTAGAACAATGCAATGATTACAAGAAGTGGTCAGTACAATGTTTTTTCTTTTATCTGATATGGACTAAACATAAAATGAAACAGGATAAAAAATGGAAGTCAATTCTTGCAACTGTTGCATAAACAGCAATAAAAATTCTGTGGGTGAAATAACTTGTTACATAAAGGGATGAAGGGAAACCGGTTATTTTTATATAGCCGGACTTGAGTCCTGGAAATGGGAAGTACAATGCCTGCACTCTAAAGGAAGGGTTTCGGGATATTAGCAGTTTGGAGGGATATGTTGTGCATCTTTATACGTATATGCTTCTAAACTGTTGTGTTCTGAGCACCTCTGCAAAAACAGTGATTATGTGTGAGTGAGGTGAAAGCGTTGAATGATGATGAAAGTATTTTCTTTTTGGGGATTTTCTTTCTTTTTTGGGTCACCCTGCCTCGGTGGGAGACGGCCGACTTGTTGAAAAAAAAAAAAAATAATAAAGTACACTCACATATTAGACCAGGTGTATTCCAGAGATGAGCGGGAAAACACTGCAGAGTTGTGTAGAACATGTACGGCTGAGTTACACAAGCCATAGTCTTGCCGAACAATAATAAACTCTGAGAATGGATTATTGATTTCCCAAAATTGCTCGTTGTGCTGTACAGGCCTTTAAAATAGAAAGAAAAAATATAATATCTGAAAAGAAACTGAAATTATTTTATTTTCAAAATACGCTTAAAATTAAGAAAATACAGTAGTTCTCATATGCATTATAACTCCTTTATATAGTGTGATTTTTTTTGCAATTATGATAGAAAAAATGCATCTAAAATTGAATAGTCGAAAACTCATGGAATTATGCTCCCGCGAAGTTAGCGGTCTCGGCGACATATGCATATCGGCGATTTCGCCGAATTTGAGCCCTATTTTCAGCCAATTCCATTGTTCCAGTTGACCAAACTCATAGCTATTTCTTTAGAACTCCATTCTATCTATCAGCTGAGTACAAGAAACCTCCCATTTACTAATTTGGACTACCCAATATGGTGGTCAGAAATTGGCAATTTGACCAATTTCATGCAAACTAAAAAAGATGCCAATTTCAAAATAGGGTCCAGAATAAACAAGGTAGACATTCGTGGCACTAAAATAGCATATGCTCTGTTCATTAGTCACATCTCTAGGCCCCTCTTATATTATTATTGCTTTCTATTTTGATTTTTTATTCATACAAAAAAAAATACAAAATTTACTGTTATGCAGACTACTGCATTATTGTAAAAATGGTATAAATAATATCAGTGCACTAGTGAAAGAATATTAGACTCCCCAGTTGACGTGTATTGGACGTGTGATGTGATTTATTTACTCCTGACCATTGGTAAAAATCGAACATTTCCGCTACTTTGAGCTCAGTTTCAAGGTCGTTTTCATTGTCAAAGTAATGAAAATCATCTCTATTTCTGTAATATGTTTTCCATTTTATCACCTAAGACCATGAAAACGCGAATACAACGATAAATACTATACGAAAATACACCTCAAAGTTGGCGTTTTATTCCAAAAAAACGATCAGAGTTTTTTTTTCTCATTACGCAATGTGTGCTGCAGGATTTTTTTTATGTGGTGCACACTGACCACACAGACCCATTCTCTCACATGTGGGCCTACCAGCTTTCTCCCGCTTGATTTGAAGCCGCTAGAATTATTGAGTATATATACGTCAGAAACATTGGCTCGTAAGACGTATTTATACGTCGAAAACAGTCAAAGGGTTAAGGAGTACCCCAGCAGGCAGGCCACAGGTCTCAGACCTCCCACTATGCACTGGGCAGCTCCACTGTCTTAGCACTAGTGGGGAGGATGAGGGGATGTAAACAGCCTCCCACATGGGTCAGTGTATATGGACTCATAGCATATAATTTTCACTTGGTGCACTTCACTCAATTTTTCCTTCTTTTCACTGCCCCATCTTGTTTCTATATAGCTATCATGATATGTTAACAAAGTGCAGGTGACACTGATGAATTAAGGAAGATTAAGGATGAAACTATGCTAAGTACGAAAAGACTGGAGATGACTAAGATGAAGGGCAATGCATGCGTCATGGAGAAGCATGAGTGACTGGTGTGTGAGAATCAACCATTTGGTCAGTTTGAGACAATGAGGCAAAGATAAGGGCTTGTGCAATGAGTAATCCCCAATGTGATGCAGTGAAAAGAATGGGGAATAGGGCATTACAGTTAAATAAAACAAAGTTTATTAACCCTTTCAGGGTCCAGACCCCTGATCTGAAAATTGCTTTCAGGGTCCAAGAAAAAAAAAAATAACTTAGGAAATGACAGAGAAACTTTTCCATAGGTAATGACACCAAAAGTACAAAATTTGATAGAAAACTTATGGAATTATGCTTTCACAAAGTTAGCGGTCTCGCCAACTTTGAGTCCTATTATAGACCAATTCCATTGTTCCAGTCGACCAAACTCTTAGCTATTTCGCTAATAAGCCTTCTATTCTATCAACCTGAGTAGAAGAAAATGCCCATTTAACTACAGTAGACTGTTATATTACACAGATTTATTTGCCACATTTTGGCTATTGCACTACTGTACTGAAAAATTGAGGCACAATTTTATACAACACTTCGTAAAATTAACTTCACACAGTTCCTTTTGCAGGCACAGAAAAAATTTCTCCAGCTCCAGCTGTTGCCTTGTTGTGGATCAGCAGGGGAGACCTGCCATCCCCTGCCACCCCCGACACTCCCGCCACCACCATCCCAGCCTTTGTGAACGCATGTTCAGTTCCATTCCGTCTTAGGAGCTAGCTGTGTTTGTGAACTGTGTTTTTATCTTTAAATTACCATATCTTGTATCTGCCAAGCAATTGTGGCACCCAGTAGGCATGCCAGTGTTACTGAAAGTGGCAAAAAAAGGTATAAGCATTAAGTCTTAGAGTTAACAAAGAAAACAGAGATACATGTATTAGACAAGAGATAGCCTGTGGCCATAATGAAGCATCACTGTGCAATTAAAAAGAATGAGGTAAATATACGAGTTTGTGTGATAAATAACTGACCGACTTGACTGATTTACTGACTGACTGACTGACTTGCTGATTTACTGAAATAACTGATTTACTGACTGACTTAAAGTTAGACTTTTTCACTGAAGAGAACCCTGAAATGGTATCTAGAGCAGCTGATGCCTTTCCGTTTACCTGGAGAGAGTTCCAGGGGTCAATGTCCCCGCCCCCCGCAGTTGTATAATGTACTGCAGGGTAAAATAGAACAGAAATCCATTACAGTATTTATGCACACTCCAGTACACCATCAACTTCAGTACCACAACCTCTACCATCCACCTCAGCCCAGTAGGGTCACAGCATAACTCTCCACTCTTCACAATCATCCACAAACACCAGCACCCACAATTTAAGGTAAGAAATACTATTATTTTTGTTGCATTTGTAATCTTAAGCAGTAAAAACAACACAATACATCATGACAATGAACTACAATTACATATTCATTTTTATTTTTGTAAGATCTGGAGGTCTAAAAAAAGTTGTCTGGCTTTTCTGAGGCTCCCAGGAATGTAATCCTATTTTTTCCCATAAGTTCTTCAGTTTATCTAACATGGATTTATCTAATACAGCATTTTCAGGAATGTAACTACCGTGCAACGTAACAATTTACTGTATTTCAACTACTCAATGAAGCATCAAAAATCGGTAATTTGGCCAATTTCACACAAAATTAAAATATTGCCAATTTAAAAATAGGGTCCAGAATAAACAATGTAGATGTGCTCCCCTATGTGAAAAAAGCATGGGATCATGTACCAAAATCAACAATAAATACTGGTTGCAGAAAAATATGGTTTACCATGGTGAATCAGTGGAAAGTCAAGTTCAGGAAACTGTTGATCTGGCAAGAAGAGTGCCAGGTGAGGTATTTGAAGCTATGCAGCCAGTAATACCAGCGAACTTTCATAAGATAATGAGAAACCAACTACAAGATTCCCAACCTTCAACACCACAAGATTCCCAACCTTCAACACCACAAGATTCCCAACCTTCAACACCACAAGACCACAAGATTCCCAACCTTCAACACCACAAGATTCACAACCAATAATCTTGGCCTAGTATGATGGTGCCAAAGCCACCCTCTCCACATAAGATGTTAAGCGCTGACAATCTGACTTGGGGGTAAGTACAGTAACAAATACAGTACTGTAGATTAGGTATTAATGTAACTATTATTTTTTTAGCTACATGTACTCTTTCTTTTAACTGTCTGAAGCTTACTACAGTTCAGGCATTTCATAGATAATTTCACATACAAAATTAGGTAGAAAAAAAAAAAAATTTTTTTTTTTGAAGAATTATGACAGTAAAATGTGTATGTTGGTTTTTTTGCGAGTTCAAAGGAATATAACCCTATTTTTCCATATTTCTTTAGTCCATAAGTACTGTAGTGAAAAATCATTGGCAATACAGTTTTCAGGAATGAAACCTGCACAAATTATTAATGCCCAATGCACTTTTTCAATCGCATTACCAAAAACCTGCAATATATAAAGGAGCTTTATAAGAGAACTTACTGCAGACAAATATCAAAAGCCCAAAAAAAGGATGACTGGTAAAAAAATAATTAGAATCCAGTGAAGAAACATTTATTGATGCTAGAAAAATGCTGGAAGAATGTTTATTAGTGTCATTAACACACATGATAATGAGAAGAGATGAGTAGAATATGGATTAAAGGGGTGAAAGAATTAGTTTGGAAAATGTTGTCCTAGAGATATTGCTGGGAGAATCAAGGCAAGGAAGTGCCAGTAAATAATGTGAACAATAACACAACTGTTGCAGTGTGATCAAATATGTTTACTTTAAACTATATAACTTGACAATATAGCTAGTATTATACATGAAAATAGTAACCCTTTGACTGTCGCAACCCCAAATCCTGAAGTGTCTCCTGATGTCGTTAAATATTTTGAAAAAAAAAAAAAAAACTTATGAAATGATAGAGAATCTTTTCCCGATGATAACGACACCAAAAGTACAAAATTTGATGGAAAACATACAGAATTATGCTCTCGCGAAGTTAGCAACCTAGGTGATATTTAAGCATCAGCGATTTTGCCCACTTTGAGGCCTATTTTTGGCGAATTCCATTGTTCCAGTCCACCACTCATAGCTATTTCTTTAGAACTTCATTTGTTCTATCGATTGAGTACAAGAAACCGTCCATTTACCGATTTCAACTACCCAATAAAGTGGTCAGAAATTGGCAATTGGGCCAATTTCATGCAAATTAAAAAATATGTCAATTTCAAAATAGGGTCTAGAATGAAAAATGCAGACATTCCTGGCATTAAAACAACATTTTCTCTGTTCATCAGTCATGTCTCCAGGCCCCTGTTATAATACACTTGCTTTCTATTTTGACTTTTTATTCACACAAAAAATAGAAGATTTACTGTTATGCAGACTACTGCAATATTGTAATAATTATAAAAATAATGTCAACCCATTCATGACTGTGTATTAGAATGGCTAGTTGGACAATGATGTCATTTGTTTACTCTTGAACATCGGCAAAAATTTAACATTTCTCTCACTTTGAGCTCTATTTCAAGATCCTTTTCATAGTAAAAC